TTGATCTTCACAACCTGTGTGGGAGCCCTGCTCTCCAACCTGCCGATCTTGGATTCACCAGCCCCTGCAGCTACGTGAATCAGGAGAAGCGTTTTGGTCTTGCCTGCCAATCTTGGGATTCGTTGATTTTCACAGCCTGTGAGTGGGAGCCCTGCTGTCCGACCTGCCGATCTTGGGTTTGCCAGCCCCTGTGGCTACATGAATCAGGAGAAGCCTCTATCCTGATCCACGGACTTGGGATGTTCCAGCCTCTACAGTCGGGGAGCCATTTCTTTGATATAAATCCCTCTCTATATATATTTATACACTTCACTGGTTTTGTTTCTCTAGAGAACCCAGCCTAAAACAACCCCCCTTTTGACATTACAGTCTTCCAATACCTACTTAACCAATTTCCTATATTAAATTCTTTCAGTTAAAATAACTACATTAAGTTCTCTTGGTTAAAACTCAAGAATTTGTAAGATGCATCCTGGTTTCACCTGTCAGTTTGTCATACTGTGGTGGCTTGTATGTTTTTGTGATGTTAGAAGCTATGTCACAAGTATTTCAAATAGCAGCAGGGTCACCCATGGTGGACAGGTTACAGCGGAGCTTCCCGACTAAGACAGGCTAGGAAGAAGGACCTGACAATCTACTGCTAAAAAAAAAATGGCCAGTGAAAACCTTGTAAATAGCAGCAGCACATGTAGAGATTCTCGAACAACATCATTAACATTACATGCAAGTAAAATTTTGCTTAAGATAATTCAAAAATGGTTGCAGCAGTACATCAACAGGGAACTGCCAGAAATTCAAGCCAAATTCAGAAGGTGATGTGAAATGAAGGATATCATTGCTGATGTTAGATGGATCTTGGCTGAAAGTAAGAATACCAGAAAGATATTACCTGTGTTTTATTGACCATGCAAAGGCATTCCACTGTGTGGATCATATCAAATTATGGATAACATTGCAAAGAATGGGAATTCCAGAATAATTCATTGTGCTCATAAGGAACCTGTATGTAGACCGAGAGGCAGTTGTTCAAACAGAACAAAGGGATACTGCATGGTTTTGAATCAGAAAAGGTGTGCATCGTGGTTGTATTCTTTCACTATACTTTTTGACTTGTAGGATTGTTAGTTTTCTTTGTGGTTCCCTTAATATTTACCCCTATATTTCTAAGTTTATAGCAGTCTTTTATTTCTTTATATCGCCCTGACTTTCTCTCCATATGAAAAATCTAGGTCTACATTTTTTAAGTTCCTCTTTTTTGTTTTATTGTTCTCATCTTTTACATATTGACATCTGTTTCCCTATTTTCAGTGTTTTAGCTTTGATTTACTTTTGTAACTTCCCTATCTGGGTTGATATCTGGCTGTTCTGTCCTGTGTTCTACTCTTGAGTTGTTGTCTGATGTTACTGGTTTTCTAACCAGAGAACTCCCTTTAGTATTTCTTGTAATTTTGGTTTGGTTTTTGCAAATTTCCTAAACTTCTGTTTATCGGCAAATGCCCTAATTTCGCCATCACATTTGAGAGACAGTTTTGCTGGATATATAATTCTTGGCTGGCAGTTTTTTTCCTTCAAGGCTTTATATATGTCATCCCATTGCCTTCTTGCCTGCATGGTTTCTGCTGAGTAGTCCTCGCTTAGTGTTATTGAGTTTCCTTCGTAGATGACTTTTTGTTTATCCCTAGCCACTCTTAAAATTCTCTCTTTATCTTTGGTTTTGGAAAGTTTGATTATAATATGTTTTGGTGACTTTCTTTTGGGAATCTACCTTATGTTGGGTTCAATGAGCATCTTGGATAGATATCTTGTCATCTTTCACGATATCAGGGAAGTTTTCTGCCAAAGTATCTTCAACAATTCTCCCTGTATTTTCTGTTATCTCCCCCTGTTCTGGTACTCCAATCACTCGTAAGTTGTTCCTCTTGATAGAGTCCAACATAATTGGTAGAGTTTCTTCATTTTTTAAAATCCTTTTTATCTGATTTCCTCAAATAAGTTGGTGTCAAGTGCTTTAGCTTCAATCTCACTAATTCTGACTTCCATTGCCTCAATTCTGCTCCTATGACTTTCTATTGAGTTGTCTAATTCTGAAATTTTATTGTTAATCTTCTGGATTTCTGATTGCTGTCTCTCTATGGGTTCTTGCAGCCTGTTAAATTTGTCATTATGCTCTTCTCTAATCTTTTTAATTTCTTCTATTATGTGTTCTGCGTTTTGCTTAATTTCCTTCCTGATTTCTTGAAGAGTTCAGTATATTAATCTTTTGTATTCTGCCTCCAGTAATTCCAAGAAATTTTCCTCCTCTGGAAAATTTCTAGATTCTTTATTTTAGGAGCTTGTTGAAGCCATCATGGACTGCCTCTTTATGTGATTTGATATTGACTGTTGTCTCCAAGCCATCAATAAGTTATTGTATTTATTTATTTTCTGTTTGCGTACTGTGTCCTAGCTTCTTGTTTTGTTTTGATATGCCCAGATAGGCTGCTCGTATGAGCTAGTTTGATTATTGGCAGCTTTGAAGCTCTGATGTCCTGTCACCAGGTGGTTAGATTTGTTACTAGGTATGTGAGCTCAGGAGTCTGCCCACTCCTTCTATACGGATTCAGCTCAGGTGCCCAGGTAGATAGCCACCAAGTGTGTGGTGTAGGCTCTCACTTACAGTCCTAGACAGGCATGGTACCTGGCTGCAGCAGGGGGACACACTCTGAGCAAGGCAGGGGGCTGACAGCTGCCCCCGCGTGTCCAGGAGGAAGTTGTGTCCCTGTTCCCTAGAGTGCATAGGTGGGTGGGTTTTGCAGCCGGACTATGAGCACCTAATGCTGTTGGCTGTAAGGACTAGGGGGCATCTCTTATTCATGGGCCCCTATTGCAGGTGGCTAGGTGGTGTGGGTGGAGCCACCAGCCCTCAGGCCTCTGATGTGAGAAGGTGAAGACCCTGCTTAATGGGCAGAGCAGTGTCAAATGTCAAGAACCTGCCACTTCACAGCTGAAACAGTTGATGTTAGACTTCCAGTATATACCCTGTTGTACTGCAGTAATGAGGGCCTACGCTGTTGAGATGAGCTCACACAAGTCTATGCAGGTGGAAAGTCACTCAAAGTCCATGGATCCCTTATGCCTGTGCCTAGCAAAGGAGCTATGCGTACCCTGGGTTCCTGGCTTAGGGGAGCCGGCAGTTTATTTGTTCCCGTTTGTTAATTTGTTCACTCTCCAAGGCAGGGAGAATGGCTCAGGGCTTGTAATGGATCCTACTTCCAGCCCAAGGGGCTTGGCAATTGCAGAAGCCAGTTCGGGACCCAGTGCAGAGCAGGGAGCAGGGAGGTAAATGGGGGAGAGGTTTTTCCCTAAGGGGGGTGTTTTTGATCCACGCGGTAAGCAGTACGCAAGTACTTATTTTTTGCCTATTGAGGGCTGCTTCTCACTGGTTCTGGGTGGCTGTGTAGACTCTCTGGCACTTGGTCTCTCCCAGTGCAGAAAACGTGCCTCCTGAGCACTGCTGCTTGCCTGCCTCACCACTCACCCTGGAGCTGATCAGACCTGAAGGGCTCAGGCTCTCAACGGGTCAGGTCTGGCAACTCCTCACTGCTTCTGAACCATCCCTCCCTCCCCCTGCCACTCAGTCCGGTTCCTCAAGTCTGCCTTTGATGTTCAGGGCGCTCAGGTTGCCATATATATAATCGATTCACTTATTTTTTCAGGTCTTTGTTGTAAAAGGGTCCACCGGAAGTATCTGACTACTCCACCATCTTGCCCCCGCCTCACCTACTTTCACTATACTTATTTAATCTGTATGCTGAGCAAATAATCTGAGATGCTTAACCATATGAAGAAGAACACGACATCAGGATTGGAAGAAGATTCATTAACAACCTGTGATATGCACATGACACAACCTTGCTTGCTGAAAGTGAAGAGGACTTGAAGCACTTACTTATGAAGATTAAAGACTACAGCCTTCAGTATGGATTACACCTCAACATAAGGAAAATAAAAATCCTCACAACTGGACCAATGAGCAACATCATGATAAACAGAGAAAAGGCTGAAGTTTTCAAGGATTTCATTTTACTTGGATCCAGAATCAACACCCATGGAAGCGGCAGTTAAGAAATCAAATGACATATTGCATTGGACAAATTTTCTGCAAAATACCTCTTTAAAGTGTTGAAAAGCAAAGACGTCACTTTGAGGACTAAGGTGCACCTGACCCAAGCCATGGTATTTTTAATAGCTTCATCTGCATGCAAAAGCTGGACAATGAACAAGGAAGACCGAAGAATAAGCAATGCCTTTGAATTATGGTGTTGGCAAAGAATTTTGAATATACCATGGGCTGCCAGAAGAACGAACGAATTTTTCTTGGAAGAAGTACAGCCAGAATACTCCTTAGAAGCAAGGATGGTGAGACTTCATCTCATGTACTTTGGACTTGTTATCAGGAGGGGTTAGTCCCTGGAGAAGGACATCATGCTTGGTACAGGGCAGCAAAAAAAGAGGAAGACCCTCAACGAGATGGATTGACACAGTGGCTGCAACAGTGGGTTCAAACATAGCAATGATTGTGAGGGTGGCTCAGGACTGAACAGTGTTGTATTCTATTGTACATAGGGTTGCTATGAGTTGGAACCAACCTGACAGCACCTAACAACAACATCTTGGTTTCAGAAATGTTAAGCGACGGTCTTAGAGTCGATGAAATAAAATACTGCAGCAGGGAATTCATAGAATGTCAAAGAGCTGACAGTGCCTTTGGAGATGACCTACTCTATACCATTGGTTAGCCTAGAGGGAGGACTTGCCTTTCTTTGCTGAAGGTCATACTGCCAGAAGGTGACAGCAAGGGGACTGGAACCCCCATTCCTAACCCTAGGCCAATGCTCTTTCCACTGGGCCTGGGTCTCTACTGACCCTTCTCAAGGGTCTGTCCCCTGCTCCTGGGATGGACAGGCCAGTGATTCATCTTCTGGTAGGCATTCTCATCAGACTCCTCCTTTTTTTTCCAGGAAGTACACTTTGCTGGTCAACAATGGGTTTGCGATTTCTGCTGCGTTGCTGATGGCCTTTTCTCTCCAGGCAGGAGCCTTTGAAATGCTCATCGTGGGTCGCTTCATCATGGGTGTGGATGGAGGTAGGACTTCATTGGGAAAGGAAGGAAATGTGAGGGGTGTTTGTGTTGTCATAATGACTGGGGCCCCCTGCTGGCAATTAGTTAGGGCCAAGGATGCTAGATACCCCATTAAAGTGGGACAGCCCGATGAGTTGAATCACCCCACTCACAATGCTCCAGCACCTTAATTGAGAAATAATGATTGGAAGGTCTTTAGCATGTAATGCTCTCTGCTTTGTCACTTTCACCATAAAATTCTTATTTCAAGGTTATCTGCGATTTCCGGGGAGCTTTTGCGAGAGTTGTGTTTTCTGCCTGCGCCTCTGAATCATTCATCCTTCCATTTATTCACTAAGAGTTTACAGGTGCCTGTTCTGCCAGGCATTCTTCTACATACTGGGGGCATAATGGTTAACAAGGCACCCAAGTCCTTATCCCTGAGGGTCAACATTCTAGTTGGGTCAACAGATACATAATTAGATACACAATATTGGCAGTGGTAAGTCCTAAGAAGAAAACCAAGCAGGCCAGGGGCATAGTGAGGACTGTTTTATGGAGGCCAGTCAGGAAAGACCACTCAGAGAAGGAAACATATGAGCAGAGAACTGGGTGAATCAAGGACAAGAGCCAAGCAAATATCTGGGGAACTGGGTTCCTAGCAGAGAGAATAATACACCAGCCCAAAGGCAGAAGTGTTCTTGGCATGTTTGAGGAAGAGTGAGGTGGTTAGTGTGGCTGCAGCTTGGTGATGGGGATGAGGGTGGAGGGGAGCCAGTGGCCATATCATATTGGTCCTTGTTGATCATAGTCAGGACTGTGGATTTATGCTGAGAGTGACGGGAAGCCAGGGGAGTTTTGAGAGGGATGTGATATGATCTGCTTTATATTTAATATGATTCTTCCTTCTCCTTTGTATAGAAGAGATTGTAAAGGGGTAGGCAGGAGTGGAATCAAGGGAACTAATTGTCTGGGGGAGATGGGCTGTGGCTGGGACAAGATGGCAGCAGTAGAGGTGAAGAGATATGACCAGATTTTTGCCATGAGGTGTGAGAATAGAAGACTCAAAATGTATAGTTTAAAAGAAAAAAAGTATTTTTTTTTTAAAAAAGAGGTGTTAGAGGTATTGAGGTATTTATAGAAAGCGGGCAAACTATTCCTGGGTTTGAATCCCAGTGCCACCATTTGCCAACTGCTGCTACTACCAACAAGGAGCCCTGGTGGCACAATGGTTAAGTGCTTGGCTGCTAACCGAAAGGTCGGCAGTTCAAACCTACTAGCTGCTCCTTGGGAGAAAGACGTGGCAGTCTGCTTCCGTAAAGATTACACCCTTGGAAACCCTACGGGGCAGTTCTACTCTGTCCTATAGGGTCACTATGAGTCAGAATCCACTCAACAGTAATAGGTTTGGTTGGTTTTTTTCAGTCTGGTTTCAAAGACCCTGCCTACTTTGTAGAAAGAGTACAGAAGTGTGGCACATATAACCTTGAAAATCCTTTCCTAATGGAAGTAACTGAGACAGTCTCTTTCTGGGAGTTTTATATTATATCCAGTTAGTCTCTTTCCTGTTGATCTGACTGTCTAGCTATTCTGGAGGAGGCAACACTTACTGCACACAACTAGTTGTTGTCTGATTGTGCTACTTGAAAAGAAGATGCCTTCAAAGATAGATGCCATTTTTACAAAACCACATATTCAAAATAAATATCTTGGACCTTTTGTTTCTGTGAGTTCTTCACAAGGAAGCACAGGAAAATAAAAAGAAAGGAAGAAAGAACAAGGAGTGAGGAAAAAAAAAAAAAGGACTCCCAACTTCTGAAGCATTATCCTATTGGAGTAATGCCAAGGCTTGCAGACTTTATGCCATTTATTTTCACAGAGCAAAGAGATAAATATGAGGGTATTTAAGGTGAGGTGACCGGTTGAAAACAAAGGAAAATTGCTGGCCATAAGCTGAATGGCCTGACCTGCTTGTAATAAATAATTTAAAGGCAAATGACAAGCCTGACAGATTTTCAGAAAGTAGGAGGCTCTAAGACTGTGCTGCTCAAACTGGATTCTCATTATTTGAATTTTAACAGATGAGGAACAAAGAGTAAGGTGTTCAGAAGAAGCATATTCTAGTCTTCCTGCTCCTTACTAGCTGAGTGACCTCAGATAAGCCTCTTGGCCACTCTGAGCTCAGTTTCTTAGTATGTAAAGTAAAGATAATGATACCTATCATTTTTTCAAGACTGACATTAATAGTGGAGATTCAGTGGTAGAATTCTCACCTTCCATGAGGGAGATCCAGGTTTGATTCCCGGCCAGTGCACCTCATGCACAGCAACCACCCGTCTGTCAGTGGAGGCTTGCGTGTTGCTATGATGCTGAACAGGTTTGAGTGGAGCTTCCAGACTAAGATGGACTAAGAAGAAAGGCCTCAAGATCTATTCCCGAAAATCAGCTAGTGGAAACGCTACAGATCACAACGGTCTGACCTCCAACTAATCATGAGGATGGGGCAGGACCAGGGAGCGTTTCATTCCACTGTGTGTGGGGTCGCCATGAGTCGGGGCCTGATTCGACAGTAGCTAACAACAACAACATTCAGGTACAATTACAGATGCTTGTGTGTGTGTGTGTGTTTCCCTTAAATAGCACCACCCTCCTGGAGTCAGAACTCTTGCCTGTGTTTACATGTGAGGAGATTAAGGCTAAGAGAGTATCTTGCCCAGCATGTCACAGTTAGGATGCAGCTGGGCTGAGATGGGAGCACAGTCAACCTGATTCCACACATTTTCTATGCTACAAGGCTGACAGGAACCAGGGAGATAATGTGGGTCAGGGAGCTCTATAGTTCAGGAATTCCTGCACCTTCTTCAGGATTCTTCCATTTTCCTGTTTTACCTGGGCAATGATTTATCCACTACTTTTCTTTAAATGATGTCCCTGAGTGGCACAAATGGTTTATGCTCAACTACTAACCAAAAGGTTGGTGGTCTGAACCCACCCAGCAGTGCCTGGAGGAAAGTCCTGGTGATCTGTGTCTAAAAAGATTACAGCCAAGAAAACCCTACGGAGCATAGGTCTACTCTGCAGTGGGGTCGCCATGACTTGGAATGGACTGGACAGCTACCGATTTGGTTTGGTTTGGCTTCTTTAAATGGACTCATTTTTTTAAAAAAAATTAAATAAATATATTTAAGAAGAAAATAAAAACTTGCCATAGCCTCTAAGACCCTAAGTGCTCTTCACTGCCTGTTCTTGCTCTGATCTTCTCTCTCACCACTTCCCCTTGCTCACTCCACTTCAGACATGCTGGCCTTTTAGGCACCGGTCACACTCCTGCCTCAGGGACAGTACGCGTGCTGTTCTCTCCCTGGGCACTCTTCCCAGAATTTCCCTGGCTAGCTCCCTCACCCCTTCAGCACACTGGCTGGATTTCCCTGACCGCCCTATTTCATATTGCAACATTCCCCACCCCCGAGCACCCCTACTTTCCTGTCCTGCTTTGTTTCTCTTCAGAACAATCATTGCCATCTATCATACTGCAGGTTTTTCAGACGACTGCTCAGTCTTCCTCCAACACCACCCCTCCCCAGACTGCAAGCTACTGGACAGCAAGGTTGTTTATCTGTTTCATTAATTGCTGTTGCCTCAGTGTCTAGTGTGGTAACCATCACACACACTCAATATTTTCAAATAGATGAATAAATGAAAACTGAGAATCCTTTGCCATAAAGGAAGTGTAAATATAGATAGATAGATATACATAGATAGATAGATAGATAGATGGATAGATAGAGAGTGCTCTGGTGGCACCACTGGTTAAGTGCTCAGCTGCTAACTGAAAGACTGTGGTTTGAATCCACCAGCTGCTGCATGGAAGAAAGATGTGGCAGTCTGCTTAGAAACCCTATAGGGCAGTTCTACTCTCTCCTATAGGGTCGCTATGAGAATCCCTTGTCAGAAAGGAAGGTTCTGCTTTTGGAAGTAATTAGGAAAAGCATCTGTTTAAAGATGCTAGGGACGACTTATAGGACCACAATCTAGAAAAGGAGAGAAATATGGATAGGCAAGCCCTTCATATGGGGCCACTTTTCCTCTAAAAATACCTTCTAATTCCTGTTCCAGTTCAAACTTTCAACAGGTTGATGGGGCTGAAGGGGAGGAATTTCTGTTGAAGTCCTGCCAAAGAAGAAGATTACTGGTAACCCTAGGGCTACACCATAGGAATAAGGTGAACCATAAATAAAGCAGACCTCAAAGGAATAAACCCACCTTCAAAGTATTTCAGTCTCTCTGACTGGATAGTGCTGATCTGGGATTGCTAATGCTTCTAGCCTACCACCCTACCAGAAGCAGACATCCAGAACCTCAAATTTTTATTTCTGTAATTTTCGTATATACTCTGGCACTCAATTAAAAATAGTCAGGCATACAAGGAGAAAAATCAAGAGAGATAACAGAAAAAAGAAACAGACTGCCAGGTAATTCTAAAAATGATGATATCACACACAGACTTTAAACAAATTATGCTTAATATGATCAGATAATCAAAAGGTAAGACTGGGAATTTTGGCAAAGAAAGAGAAACTATAAAAGGTACCAAATCAAAATTCCAGAACTAAAAAATACAAAAGCTGAAATTTAGAGCTTAATGGATGGTTTTACCAGAAGACTGCATGCAACTTAAAGGAAAATCAGGGAGCTAGAGTATGAAAGATCAGAAGACAATGTTCAGACTGGAGAATGGAAAATACAAAAAAGAGGGTATGAAATGTTTGGGAAATGATATAAATGTCTAACATGTACATTGGAGTATCAGAAGGAGAGAAGACAGAAAATGTAGAAAAAGCGATTTTTGTGACATAATGGCCACATTTTTTTTTCCAAAATGGATAAAAGATTTCAAGAAGTACCTTGGACTCTAAGGAAGATAAATACAAAAAGAAAAAAAGAAAAAAAGGCAAACAACAAAAAACACCAGTAAAACTCCCATACTTGGGCATGACTATCAAGGGCAAACAGAAAATTATTTT